TCACAAAAGGAGGGCATGTTGATTCAAAAACTCTTGAGATAGTTGCTCTCAGCTATGATTGGTTTGGGGGAAGGGGGAAGAATGCTACGAGGTGTTACTTTAAACACAACATAAGTTCTGGGTTCCATATTCATATGTTCTGAACATCTTTGTTGTTGTTGTTGTTTGTTTTTTTTGTTTTTTTTTAATGATTCTATCTTTGCCAGTTTCATGGTCTTCTTATCTTGGATGTGGGGAAGACAACCCTCACAAACTTTTCATGCGAGAATGTTTTGGGATGCATAGTCGTCTCAAGCCCAATCAAGGAGGATTACTGCGCTTGAAGTTGCATGAAGGGATCAAGGTTGAATCGCTATTGGGCTGCTGGGATTCTGTTTGTTGCTTTTTGAGGATTTTCTTCTACTTTTTCCTGATTTTGTGGTTGTCATCAAATGCAAGCCACTTTGGCTTGAACTTATTATCCAAAGGTTATACTATTGTAATGGTTTGTGGATGGTTTCTGGTTGCTAGTGAAATCACAGCTCCTTCATAGCTGTCAGTGTTTGATTTTAGATTTTTAAAGGTTTCCATATTTATTGACATGACAAAGCAGCACTCTTTTAATCAAGTTGCAGTGCGAAAAACATAATTTGGTAAAGAGTATCCAGATGTGTCTATATAGCTTGGTTCATTTTGACCAAAAAGCAGAGCGTAAATGCGTAATGGTTTCGGCAAATTTTTACTTCGAAGAGTTGGTTTGTAATTAGAAATGCACAGTTGCACAATACACTTTACAAGATCAAAAAATAGTTATATTGGCTAACATGCATTTATGATTTGTATTATAGTTTATATACGTAACTTAGTGTGCAACATATATATAATACAATTTTGACAATTTTTTTAGATTCAAAGTGATTACATGTAGTTTGTTTATATACACTATTAGGGACCGAATACCAGTCAATGAGTTTAAACACCTAATATCATGATCAAATAAATGAACCGCAGGTGAGGGGAGGATGAAGGACAAGAAGTGGATTCACGTAAGTGGATGAGGAAGGACAGAAAATTTGTTTCTTTCGTATCTTGCAGCTGTGTTTCTTTCTCTGATAGTCAAACAAATGTATAGTTTCTCTTCCTATGACTCGTCAATCCATCATGCCTAATTTGTGAAAAATACATTGCCCTATTCATTAACACTGAAAAAAGTTTATTGGCCTCTCTCTCTCTCTCTCTCTATATATATATATATATATATATAAAGTGTATTGGCAATGCATAAATCAAATTCATTTGTATTTTTCTGTTAAAGCATTTAGCTGTCTAGAAAATGCTTTTTAGTTTCTTGGGTACATATACGACATTAAAAGTTTTGAGGAAAAATGATATGGTTGGAAGAGATTTTCTACATGGAAAATTGGCTAATTAACGTGTTCCCTCCTTTTTTTCTGTACTCTTTTTGGAGGAATGATATTTTGTTATCTTAGAGACAAATATTTTGATACAGGACAACTAAATGATAGTTCATGATAAATTTAAATCTCACGGCGTGTTATTTTATGAAGAATAATACTAATTAAAATAGCCTTATAATTGAAATAAAATTCAATTTATAAATTCAATCTAGTTTAAAAACAAAAAAAAATGGCTTAACTATTTAAATATACTTTTAAAAACCTAAATGATATAATCCTGACTAATCTAAGATTCTAAATGATAAATCATATCCTAATGAAATATTTTATCTTTATTTAAATTTAAAACAAGATAAACTAATTTTCATAAAATTAAATATGAATTGGGCAGGGAAACAAACGTGTGATTATGCAAAAGTGGATTTTAGATTAGAGGGGGCACAAATAAAATTTTGTTAGGTGATGTGAGGGGATAATTTTTATAAGATAATTTTGTTCTTATTTGTATTTCTTGGAATAATGTCATGTAGGATGTACATGTAGCATATCCCTCTTTGTTTTGTTTGGCTCGGAAGAAATGAGTAAACATGATTTAAAAATTTAGTCACATGGAGAGCTACCATAAATTTTGGACTAGATTAAATTTTTAAATTCCAATTTTCAACTGCAAATAATTTCAATCAGTCTAATATTTAGAAAAGGCTTTTCACCAAATCTTGCGCATTTTTTGGGGTTATTATATTTTGTTAAACGCTATGCAAGTTTTTTATGATAAGAATATACTAATTAAAAGTTCTTTTAAAAATCAGTGAAAATGTCAGCTTTAAAAACTGTTTTTTGCATTTCTCAAATGCTCAACTTATGGATCGCAACACTATTATTTTTTCATATCATCTAGACAAGCACAAAAGTAAATATAATTCAATAATTTCATAGCTTAATTAATCCAAGTAATTTGTTATGAAATTATTGCTGTCTTATAACAGTCACAGAGCATAGGCTTACTGTGCAACGCATGGAGGAGTACACGCTGGTTATGTGAAATGGCAAAATCAGCCCCAGCCCCGCATCAACACTTCCGTATATCTTTAGATGCATTTCACACAACAAGCATGCACGCGCACATAGTCATGGGCTTCTTTTCTCGTGGGCCTTTATGGTACAGAAAGGCTACAGGCTTGACATTCGGTTTCCATTTACCCCAAAAAAAAAAAAGAATTACTTTCTTCTTGTGATTTGTTCGGTTTCAGTATTTTTCAGAGTCTTAAAAATGAACTGCACTATCTATAACTTAAGAAAGAACAATTTGTTAAGAAATTCATATTGCGTATTGATTTTCAATATGATCGTTGTTTTTCCTAAACAACTTTTTGCCAAAGAAAGGAAAGTGAAGATGCTGCAATTCTTCCATGGACTCTTTTTTTTTGGGAGCAAATCTTCAATGCGCTTATTGCTTTTAATTAATACAAGTATTTTGGGATAGAAGTATCAATGAAATCAAATATGTCAAATATTTATTTTGACATCCTTGTGTTAAATATATAATGAATAAATAAGTTTTTTAATGAATTCTGCTAGGTTGAAGGGGTTTAGTTAAAAAAGGTACAATATTTATATTTTAGCTGTGCTCATTTTACAACTCAACTCAATTCAAGATAGAAAGGCACAACTTAAAAGAAGCTAAATTTTGACCTTGTTTATAAGACATAGGTAGAAGATTAATTTTTATCCTATTCATAAAGTAAAGAGAGAAGATTAATATTAATCCTATCTACAAGGTACTTTACTATTTTGTGTTTATCCTTACCTTTGGGCCCTATTAAAAATAATTATTCTTGTCTTTATTAGGTAATAGAGATAAAAACTTATTGAATTTTAAAATAGAGTTAATGAACTTTAAGATTTTTTTAGTTTCAATGAAACATGCTGGAAGTGACTTGTAAATAAGTTCAGAGGGAGATCATTTTGTTTAGAAAAAATTAATCATTTAATCCCTATAGTTTTGACTCAATTATAACACAATCTTTAAACTTTGACTTGTTGTAACTCAGTCTTTATAGTTTTAACTCAATAGTAATATAATCCCTGAATTTTACCTCTTATAATTCAGTCTCTATAGTTTTAATCATTAAAATATTAATCCTTATATTTAAAAAATGAAACTGTAAAGATTAAAAATATTTTAAACTTTTAATATTTATAAAAATTAAATGGGTTTAGTAATTTTAAATATCATTTATAAAGTATAACATAATTTTAATATTTATAATTTTATTTTTTAATATATAGGGACAAACATTTAAATAATTAAAACTATAAGGATTGAGTTGTAAGAATCAACGTTTAAGAATTGAGTTATAATCAAGTCCAAACTTCAAGAGCTGAGCTATAATGAGTTAAAGTTTAAAAATTAAGTTACAACTGAATCAAAACTATAAAGATTAAATTATTAATTTTTCCTTTTATGTGCCAGAAGAGAAGCTAAATAGATAAATACTCCCTCCACAAATTATAAGATGCTAATCACATATACTAATAAAGTTGTTAAATGTATTTTACAGCTTTTTTTTTAAATAAAAACATAAACTTTTTTAAAATGCTCTTCATTTAATACATCATTTATAAAAGAATATAAAAAAGAGAAAATATAATGGAAATGGTAATATTAAAAAAGTATTATTAATAAAATTTTATTTTTGTTAAAATGTTTTATAATTGGGATGGAGGGAATACGAATTAAAGATGTGTGGAAGACATGAATAATAATGTCAAAAGGCCTCTCATGTTGATTTAGATATTTTTGAAAAACCATTTTTGTTGTGTGTCACTGTCTACGCAATAAAATCGATCATGGTCACTAAATGAACAATGACTAATTTCAAATCAAGTCATTCATTAATCTACTCAACAAACCTCCATCGCACATGCATCAACTTGATCAACTCATAAATTATTCTTTAGATTTTAACGCAACAAATTTATTATAAATTATAAATAAATGAAAAGTTTGGCAATAATCAAGAGTACATTTCCAATTTTCCACGCGGGATCGGATCACGTAGGTGGTGGGACTTGACTCTTACCGGGTGAATTAAATAGGCTTAATGTCTCCAAAAGACACATACATACTAAAGCGCAGGGCAAGGCATTGTTTATTTATTTAATTTAACAATTTCGTCACGATTAAGGATATGTTTAGAATAAGTGGAGTAGGTGCTCGCTGCAAGGGAAGCATAATTGCCTTGTGCCCCCACCCCCCCCCCGGGGGTTTCCGACACTGATAATCACATATAAATGAATTATTGGATGTTGAATGCATTTTCAGGCTCCATTCAGAGCCCTGCATTGGTGGATTCCGCGTGTAACAGGCACAAATCTCGATCACTATTATAGCTGTCATCATGCATTTAATATCTCGCCACTCACTACACCACTACTACACTTCGACGTTCCCTTCATCTCATCTTATTCAATTGAGTTCCCCATACCACTCTTGCTTCCAATCATTTCCTTCGACACTAAACATTCTCATCATCATCTTGTATTACATTGATTATAACATCTCCTTCTTAATTTGCTCATCCGCGTTGGAGTTTTTGTGTGTTACTGATGAACTTGCTTATTTAATGCAACTTTATCGGCTTGGTACTCGGCGATCCAGCCTTTGATTATCCTGATCTCTGCCTTCCTCTGCATCACCAGCCATTCAGGATCACTTGGTTTCGCTTCAAGTATGTCCAGGCAATGAGATCCTGCGATTTTTTCCCAACAAATATCATATCCCGTGCATGTAAAAAAATCACTAAATTAAACTATGCATGGTCGTAAGGGTCAAGGCGTGTACCATTGACCGTTGACACTGCAATGATACTATCGGATATATCCTCCAACACCCTGCAATTTATTCAATATGCGCGCGCGCGCATATAAAAGAAGTCACAGACTTTTTTTTTTTGGCCAAAAAAAGAAGTCACAGACTGAAGGGAACTGATAGCAATTAAAAAGAAGACGGAGGGGTGGAAAAAGAAGAAAAATGATGTCATGACCAAAATTATTTTATTATCGGCGTACCCGCCGGAACTGTACGGATCTCTCAATCCATTGGAGAAGATAATGTTGCTGGCAAATCTATACAGAATCAGTTTCAAGTCCTGGAAATTCGTCGAGGACATGTGAGAAAGCATGGTCTAATAATTAAATGAAAAAGAAAAGATGACGTGATTAATTTAAAGAAAGGTGATTAAAAATAATATGAACGTACAGGACCCCCATAATACGTTGTCACCCAATGAGGCCGTGGACGAACGCCATACAAACTCCTGCATCTATCCACAAAGCTCTTCAGACTGAATGGAGCCGGTGGGAACATTGTATCGTTCCTATCATGACCGATTGGCATCACCATCTCGCTACAGCTCTATTAATTGCATACATGATGCCCAGTTATAATTTCATTAATTCATGACTCAAAACACTTGAAGCATGTAAACAATGGGGCTTAATTATGTTTCGTATTAATTAGACTTTTAACCTGCCAGTTCCATCCGATGTTAGTTTGGGTGTCGTGATTGAACTGATTCGTGTCGTAGCAAGACTCATTTCCGTTATAAGCCACCAGACCTTCAAATATTTGGCCGAGAGTATCTGTTTTCTTCGCTGCTGCATCAATGGCTTCACAGATCACACTAACTGGGTACTCTGGAGGTTCATTATACTGAGCTGCCTCCGTATATGTTAAATCCAAGTAATTCTTCAGCTCAGAACTGTTGTCCAGTTTTCTGAAATAACATATTATGAAAACAAATAGAGAACAGCCTTTTAGTAAGGGAAAGTGAGAAAACATTTGTATATATGCTGGTAAAGGCCATGAATCTATGGCGGAGAAGAAAACTGCTGAACCTGCAAGTTCTAAATGTCTTGGTGAGAATTGAAAGGCCATTAGGCATCTTGGCTACTCTGTCAATTTCAGACCACGATTTACGTATAGTTTGGTAGCAGCTCTCACTAGCTTCCTGGACCACCACCATTCAAAATAGAGTTGAGAATAAACTTAGAAGTTCGAGTTCATGGTCGTTTCCACACATATACCATGGAGTCCAATGTTATTCGATATGACTTGCTAGGTTAGGTCTATATCTTCACAATGATAATTAATTATTAATAAAATAATAATGTAAATTACTTTAAAATCCTTGGTGACAATATAGTAATATCCGGCTTTTGGGGCGAGGCCACTGAAATATGGAATTGGTGCTGATGAAGCCAGGGCACCGAGAGCAATGTGGGGATACTTTAGCCTGAACCATGAGGCAAGCACTGCATGAGAAACAGAAAATTAAGCCTAAGAAGTCGGTTCTTAATGTATTCATTAAGTTACATACATATACATGTAGTTTATGTTTGAAGATCAATATTGATGGCATATATTGTATAGATTTGGATTCAGTAATTGTAATTAATACAAGTATTGAGCGCCTCTAATATTTGACCTGTTGAAATACAAATTAACAATTTATATAAACTCACTCATTTATTAATCTTAAGTAAAGTATGAATTCAGAATTATTGATATGAATTTTAACAGTTCAAATATTAAATGCAATCAGTTGTATTAAATATAGTCATTAAATTCAAATTCTATATTATATGCAATAGTTGATCAAAAAACAAGAAAGTTGTATGCGGTCACGTACTTCCACCATAGGATCCTCCGATAACGATGATGGGAGAACTCTGAGCAGACAAACGTTCCTTTATATGTAAAAGCACCGTAGCATAGTCTGCTAGAGCTTGGGCTGAGTTGAAATAGCCTCTCGTGTTTGCATTTTTCATTGCTTTTTTCATGGACCCGAAGGGTATGGATTTCCCGTAGTATCTATGCTGTGCTCTCAAACCATATAATATATATATGAATCAATGATCACAATAAATTAATTATACTAAACAAGTTATGAGTTGATCTCTCATACCTCAACATAAACAATAAGAGCATTGAATTGAGGGGCGTTTTCTCTGAGGAATCCAACAACATTTATATCGTCGTCCACGGGCTCTTCTGCACCAAGGTATGTAAAAATGGGCGCGCTCGAGTTAGGTCCAGCCCAGTAGTTAGAATTTATCATATACCTTTGTCGAAAAGTGGCGTAGCTGTCTGGTCTGTAGTTGAAGTGATCGAGTGTTTGGGTATAGTAGAATGTCCGGAGGTCCTCGGCCAGTTTCAGGCCAGACGAGATTTGTGGTTTATGTTGTTTATCGATTTTCCTTGAAATTCCTAACCTTGGAATGATGTTGAGAGCATCAACACCGAGGAAGATCAACAGGAAGATCAAAGAAAACCGCTGGAATGAGCACGTAAGGTTAGCCATGGCCCAATTTTGGGAGAATGAATGTCTCTTGGTTGAAGGTAGCCTCTAGCTAAGCGTATGTTTATACACAAGCTACACGATCGTGGAGATACTGTTTGAAGCACTACACGATCGAGGAGATGCTGTTTGGAGCACCACCACGTCCAAGGTCCACGATGATCCATCCGCGTGCTTTTTTGTTTTGTTTTCAAATCAGAATACACGTTTTTGTAACTCATGACACTGCATTGCAGTTTCAGAAAGTGTAAATAGTGGGATAAGATATAATTAAGATTATTTAGATATTTAAAATTATTTTACTAGATATTTAGATTTTTTTTTGAATTCGTTAGGATTTAACTTTATTTTTTTTATCGTTATCTTTGTTATGATTATTTTAGATTTTGTATTTACCTTTAATGAAAAAGGTTATCAAGCTCATTTAGAGTAACTGTTTATTTTATTATAGTTAATTATCTTCTAAAGTTAGCATCGGTTGACATTTGACTTATTTTTTTAATATTTTTATGGCTCTATAGTGAGTAGTTCTATGAACACCTTTTTCTCTCCCCTTTCCCTTTCCTAGGCCCTTTTTAAATTATCGTTGTTAGGGCCTTAATCAAATAAGATAAAATTCAGGGAATCAATAAAATTGGAGCGAATAATTTGTACAGGCATTGTCGTTTGGTTCGTAATCCTGCAGCCCGTTTAATTAATAACCAGGCCCTACCGTGCGGCAAAGTAAAATATAGAACATTAAAAAAAAATTTATACATATAATGAGCTAGATTAGAGGTGTCAATTAGGGCCGGCCCTTCAAGGGCCAGGACCTAAATGGGCTGGTCCTTTTAAGCCCGATTATACTTTAGGGCTTTAGTTTTAGCAGCTTGGCCTTGACCATCAAGGCCTCAAGCCTAATTATTTTTTTATTTTTTAATTTAAAAATAAAAAAATATTTAAAATTCTAACAAATATATTACACATCACATTAAGTCTAGAAAAATAAAATAAAATTAATTCACACAAAAAAATTTTAAGTCTAATTAAAAAAATAACATCCCAAAGTTAACTCTGACATCAATTATATATTGGTAGTATCATCAGCTAAATTTTGATAATTTTTATCATTATCAACATCAATATGATTTGATCCTTCTCCTTATAGATCCTCATCAATGTAAAATATGTTAAGCTTTTCATATTTTTCTTCTTCATTCTCATTATTTGCAATAAATAACAAATCAAAATCATAATTTCAAGATATTTAAAGAATATAAAAATATTTAAAGTAAGAAAATAATAATGTGTGTGTCTATTATTTGGACTAGAGAGTGAGTGTTACTGCTGAGCTTGAGTGATATGGTGTCTTCTTTTTATTTTTTTATGTTATTTTTTTAAAAAAATATATTAGGACTTAAAAGGGCCGGCCCTTTTAAGCTCGATTTACCTTTGGTAGTAGCGGCCCAGCCCTTAATTTTTTCGGGCTTAAAAGGGCCGAGCTCGTAATTGACAGCTCTACTATTGATGAATATATGAAATACATAAAGTATGATAACTAGGTGATACTCATTATGATAAATATAATTAAGGCTTTGGCCTCTTGCTACCAATTATGAATGGGTTTGAGTTGTCAAATATTATGCTGGTGAATATATATACTATGTGGAGCAAGTTACAAGGAGGAAATAAGGGGGAAGTCTTTTTTTTTTTCCATCTTGAAATGTGTTTCTTAATACTCAATCAGTCTCATGTTTTGCATAAGTTTAATTGAATGATGTGAGTTTTTGTAATATTTTAAAGATTTAGAATCCTTTATTAGATAGTTTGTGAAAATATATGTTTATGACTTATTTAGGTTAATCTCTTATAGGATAATTGCAACATCCTAGAAATTTAAACCTAATTAATTAAGCTTAATGAGGTTAATTAAGTTTATTGATGTGGTGTGTGGCTAGCGGGGTCTAATTTGTGTAATTGATTGTGATTTCAACCTTAAATGCGGGTTCGAAGTAAAGTTAGACCATTCATGCATCAAAAAGGGAGGAGAATTGAAGAAGGGTCTTCTGTGCCACATGCCGCGACGGGAGGAACATTCACTGCGGCATACAAGGACAACCAAGATGACCCGAGCCTCTGTGTGCCATGCGCCGCAATGTGGGTTGCGTATGCTGTGGCACATGGCCAAATTTTTCCACAATTGGTGTAACATCCCAATTTAAATTTTAATAGTTAATTTGAGTTAATAGAAATTTAAAAAAAAATATTTAGAGGTAAGAAAATTAGTAAGAGATGATTATTAAATCTAACTTAGGATATAATTCTAAAAAAAAAATTAAAAAAATTTTAAAAAATAATAATTAAAAAAAAATAAATAAAAATATTATTAAATTATTATTATAATAAAAAAAGGGGAACAGGTATTAAAAAAAAAAGGGGGAAGAAGAAGAAGAACAAAATTGCTTTCGGCCGCCCACAACAATCATTGTATATAATAATAATATAAAAAAAGGGGAGAGAGAGAAAAGAAGAATAATAAAAAAAAAGATGTGAGACCCACTGAATTTTTATAAAAACTCACCTGTTCCTTCATTTTTTTTGCATTCATTCCTTCATGCGTGCTAAGGCGGAGAGAAGCGAGTCGCCGGTGCGAAATATCTAAATTTTTAAGGTAAGAGTTTTTAATAGGATATTTAGGGTGTGATTTTAAGCTTTTTAAGACTAAGTAAATGTTCTAAAAATTTTTCTTAGTCATCCTTCTTCTTTGATTTCTGAGTTTGTAGTGGTAGAAAATTTAAGATTTGGAAGAGGGATGAATTTATATTGAATAAATATGATTTTTGAGGTTGTCAGTAATATAATAAATGTTTTAGAGTATAAATTTGTTGATGATCTTTGAATTTGTGGCTTATGGATCAAATTCTAAACTAGATCTGAAAATATATGTTGATTTATTAAGGTTTAGATGATTATTTGGGATGAGAAATGAATTATTATGGTTATAGGATTATGATTCTAAGCTAGAGACTCAATTTTTAATTTTTGGATATTTTAGGTACGAATTTATGAAATAAAAAGAAAATTTTGATAATAGAAATTAGTTTAGAAGTTAATTTTTAGATTATTAATGTTTATTGATAATTAAAAGAGGAGTTAAAAAAATTTACTTAATAGTATTAACTCTAGATTTGTATTAAGATTGAGATTAGAAATTATGTTATATTTTTAATTCTATTATTAGAATTATTTTATTAGTTTCAAAAATTAAAACTAATATTTATAAATAATATGTTATTTGTAGATTGTATTACTGGTGAAGATTGTGGTGAGAGAGAAATTTTAAGGAATAATTTATTAAAAAAACCACAAGGTAACCATGCTTTTAATTTGTGATTAGTGTTATTTTATGTTAATTGGGTGATTATTGAGAAAATTATGAATTTTGTAATATTGTATAATTATGTAATATTATTATGAATTTGTTTCATTATTGTGGGAGGTGTTGGGAGACTTGCTATTGTTGTTGTATTTATGTGCCACGTGGTACGCCCCTATTGGAGCTCAATAGGTGGCTTGTAAGGGCTCGGGCTAATCTACCTTTGGCCGGGTAATTTAGCATCGAGTGAGGGCTACGGCTCGAGGTTAATGGAGGGATATAAGGATGGTTGTTTGTGTGTATTGTAATATTTCTTATATTTATTGTAATTATATTATTTTTAATTCTTACTTAGTAAGCACACACTTAACTGTTTGTATACACTATCATAAATTGGCTTTAGTTACTGGGACTTTTGAGTCTCATTATGTGGTTAACAATTTTCAGGAGAAGAGCCACGAGTGACACATGGAGGAGTCCCAGAGGCTTAGTGGTATAGATCCACTGTCTCTTTTGGGTATTTAATTTATGATTTATAATGTGTTATATTGTCAATATTAGGACTTTTTGTTTATTGTCAATTATATGAATATATAAATGTAATCATGCCTTTCAAACTATTTCTATTTTTGGTACAATTAGGATGACTGTAATTTTAATATTTGATTTACTTTGGATTGGTTAAAATAGCATGATTATAAGGCCAAATAACTGGCTTGTGTTGAAAATTGATTAAATTACTTATTTTACTTGTTGGGAGTATAAGGATGGACATATATGATTTAGTTAACTTGTTGGAAGTATAAGGATGGACAAATGTGATTTAGCCTAATGGCATGTGGGAGGTAAAAATTTATCTAAAATGTTATAGTGTGTGAGTTGAAGCCAATTATAAAATATTTTATATTAAAATTATTGATATAAAAATGTGTTGGGTGGCTGTAACCCAACTATGGTTGAGTTAAATTATTTAAAAAAAAAATTTGGTGTGTTACAAATTTTGGTATCAGAGCTACATGTTTTAAATTCTTATAAATTATGAAATTGTCATACATTAACCTAGTTTATTGGCAATATACATTATTAAATCACAATACTTCTCCATCATTTTTCTTGTCTTGAGATTAGTGTTAACTTAATTATGTGACTTTCATCCTTTAGGAGGGGAGAGATGGTGTCCAAAACTAGGAGAGGTGGCAAAATTGCCGGTGATTCTATAGAGCCAATAGGAAATGACATACCTTCACTGCCACAACCGGAGCCTACACAGCAACAAATGGGGCAGGGCGAGCCCATACAGTCACAACTAAGGCAGGATGAGCCAACCATGAGGCAAATGATGAATCTACTATATAATCTTAGTGACCACATGAAGAGACAAGAAGAAGAGTTGGCCGCTTTAAGACAATATAAGGAGAATTCCAACCGAGAGGGAAATGGCCAACAAGAAGGAAGCCATACCAAGGTATTTAATGCGAGCCAATCTGCTGATGAAGGCTCACCTTCCTATTCTCACCATGAGACTAGTCCGAAGAATGTGAGTCTCCACTCTGAGCAACAGACATCCACGATCACAAAGATCTGGAGTACTTTTCGTAAGTTTAATCCTCCTACTTTCGATGGAAATCTTAAGCCAGCGGTGGTTGAAGAATGGATAGATCAATT